TTCATGTGACAGAAAGAGAGCTAGCTCTGGTCTCTCCTTTCCTTTCCTTTCCCTGTAAGGCACCAATCCCATCATTGGGGTTCCACCCTCGTGACCTCATCTAAACCTAATTAATTCCCACAAACCTTACCTGCAAATGCCATGACCTAGGCTGCTAGGGTGAGCATAACAACTAGGGAGAGGGGGGAAACACAAACATCCAGCTCATAGCAGTGGCTGTACAGAAGTTCATTATCCTTTCGGCCTTTAGTTTCTAATACTGTAATTGATATGGCTGAACTAGATGTTCAGCAGTTCTAGTATTCTTTTTTTTTTTTTTTAAGATTTTATTTAATTATTTGTCAGAGAGAGAGAGGGAGAGAGAGCAAGCACAGGCAGACAGAATGGCAGGCAGAGGCAGAGGGAGAAGCAGGCTCCCTGATGAGCAAGGAGCCCGATGTGGGACTCGATCCCAGGACGCTGGGATCATGACCTGAGCCGAAGGCAGCTGCTTAACGAACTGAGCCACCCAGGCGTCCCAGTTCTAGTATTCTTTATCCCTATTGTTAGATAAGCAAGAGCAGCAAGTCCAGATGATTTGTGAAATCTTTGTTCCAAGGGCAGACACATGAATTTAGAAAGCTAGAATTTAGGGGGGGAATAAATAAATAAATACATATATATGTATGTATAAAATTTTATCATATATATTATATATAATTATTTATATATATAATTGTTTTATTATATATAATATATATTATATATATAATTGTTTATATAAAATGTCTTAGAACAATGTGAAAATTTTAGGCAATCTGTCAGACACCAAAACCTAATGATTTAAAGAAAAACTCTGTTAATCAAGAATTCCTTGAACACCATATGTATACCCAGCAATGTACGGGCACCACGAGGAATATGAAAATATACCCAGAACTCAAATTCTTTTTTTGTGTATAGGGAAGTTGGTAAAGATGCTGTTTGTTACATAACATGGAATTCTTCCATGAGTGTCCCTAAGAGAATTTCATACTGCATTGAGTATTAGGAAGAGTTGGTTGTCTCCTGAGAAACAGATTTTTCCTTTTCTTTTTTGCTGCCAGACACATGGTTTATCCAGAGAAAATTAATAATATTTTGGTTTATCCAGAGAAAATTAATAATATCTTATGGCAAAATATTTATATTGGCCTTATTTGAATTCTTTTGTTCTTTTAAACATTACCATTTTTATGCAGATGAATTTTTTCTCTCTTATTTCTCTCTGTGTGTATGTTACATATATATGTAAAATTCTGTTTAAATCTACTTCTACTTTTTTACAAGATGAAATCTAAATAAACAAATAGGCACACAATCCCTATACTCAATCCAAATGAGAATACAAAACAGTCATTGTTGAAACAAAAAGTCTGTGTACTGCTATGCCTTAGGGGGCATTCAGCGAAACCTCTGATAAGAACAGGAGTGGGTCTGAAAGACTTCACAGAGCTGTCAGGAAGCACAGAGAATGGAGTGTCTGCAAGGACAGCGGGGATACTGGTCCAAACTGAAGAGAAGGCCTGGACTGAGGAGAGTGGAACATCAAGTTTTATAAGTAGAGGAGCTAAGATTATAATAGAATGTAAATGTCAAGCAAGGGAATTTTGATTTGACGGGACAAAAGAAGCTTTCAGACTGCAAAGGTTGTCAAAAGAGAGGTTGTAGCCTATTTCTAATACAACCTCATGAAAATACTTGGACGTGAACTTCTGTTATTAAAAATGACATGGTGAACACAGGCAAAAATGAAAAGGGCTTTTTATTCTTGTTATTTATTACCCAAGTATAATTTCACCACAAGCAGGGACAGACTATATAACTTTCTTTCAGTTCATTTCTTTTATTCTTTTATCAAAGGACTTGATCCAATAGAGAGCAAGGAGCCACATGTAGTATATACAGAACTGATACCTTTCCATTAAAGAAAAAAAAAGGCTTCAGTAGGTTACCATAGAAACAGCCTAGCATCCATTCCAGTTTTTAATAAAAGACCTTAGTCTTCTAATGAAAACCTACCAGATAGTATATTCCTACTCCAACTTTCTAGCTGCTAACTCTCTAAATAGATAAGGGGATGTTCTTTATATTTAAAAGAAGTAAAACATGTGCATCTGGTGGGGAAATGCAGAATGTTTTTAAGAGACACTCCTTCTGCAAAAATATAAAATAAAATAAACCTGACAAATTCAGAAGCACATTTTTTGCTCATTGCAACATCAAGGAATGATCAAAGTGGTCTTTAAAGCTCTCAGGGGCCAGTGTTCAATCCATGTCTTACACATGGCTAAGAGCAAATGCCACTTCTATGTGGCAAAAGTGGTCACATTATAATTCCATCTACTAAAGAGAACTTGTCTTCATCTTGCCAGTGAAACAAGTGGCCCAAACGAGATTTATTACACGAGTCTTAGTGTGTTACAGACTAATCTAATATAAAGATATGGTCCCCAATTTTAGACTCAAGTTTTTAGAGACATGTTAAAATTTATTTCTAAGATCTCCTGTAAAGAATTCCAAGTAATTTAGGTCGATAATACCCCTTTCAGAAAGTAGAATTTAACTCTGTTGCCCACCTTGCATGTGGACTCTGCTTATTGACTTGCTTTCAAACAGTAAAACATGAAAGCTGGTGGTGGGGTTATAACTTCATGGTGGAGAAACATGGCCTTTACTCCCTTGGGTAAGTGACCAGGGCTCTGCATCGTGAGTCATGTTGGCACCCTACACTTCTGATATGATGTGATGAGAATGGTCCTTCACCTTCATGGTCATTGTCTCAAAAACATTCTAACCACAAGATAAACATTAGACAATCCCACACAGAGGGACAGTCTGTAAAATACCTAAACAGTGTTCCTCAAAACTATCAAAGTCATCAAAAAGATGACAGTCTGAGCATTGGTCAGAGTAAGCTAAGGAGACCTGATGGCTAAATGTAATGTGGTATCAGATGAGATCCTGGAAAAATATGAACATGGGATCAGATGGACACTTTAGGGAAAAACAGTGAAATCTGAATAGTCTAGAGTTTAATTCTTTAAATATCCAAGAAGCAGATGTTAAGTGTGTGGAAGAGCATGGGATTTGGGGGCTGATAGACTGTATTTCAAAGACAGGTTCCCATAAACTGAGTGAAGTGGGGGAATCTGTTTGATCTTTTCATGCACCCTGTTCCTCGTTTGTAAAGGAGGAAATACAATGCTTACCTTGAAAGACCACTAAAAAATCTATAACATATGATATGTGGTCTATCATATCTCCATAAACAATATACTTAAAATGACTTCCATCCTCACAGCAGGTACTCCCCAAATGGTGTGTACTTTCTCTCCTTCCATTTGCTTGCATCATAGCATCCAAAAGCCAGACAGAACCTCTGTCCCTTTGCCTGAGCACCTGTCAGAGTAGTCTTTCACTGCCAGAGGCCACTTTGCCCACCTAGTTAACTAATCTCGCAGTTCTGTGGGTCTAATTCAGGCAAAGCATGGCTGGTTCTCTGCTTGCGATCTCACAGAATTAAAATCAAGGTGTTGGCCAGAGCTGAGACCTCACTGGAGGGTCAGAGTCCGAGGTTCCTGGTTATCAGCAGATTTTAGTTTCTTGCAGTTGGAGGACTGAGCTCCAATAATTTTGTGTTATGGTGCATGACTTTTTGTGTTTTTTTTGTTTTGTTTTGTTTTTCTGGCTCTCTGCCAGTTCCTCCTCCCACCAGTGGGGAAGCTATTAGTTCCCTTCCTATGCTGGCCCCCTCTAAAACAAGACTGTGTGTGTCTTCAAGGCCAGTAGGAAAATCTCACACTTTAAGTTGGCTAATTCTAGGTCTTATGTAACATAAAGTAATCATGGAGTGACTTTCCTGTTGTGGTAGTCTCACTCACACTCAAGGGGAGGGTGTTTATGAAGGGCATGTATATTGGATAGGAATCTTGGGGCCATCTGAGAATTCTGCCACAGTCACATAAAGAACAACATCTACACGTTCAAGTGTATCCAGTGGGATATCCAATTGGGCTTAAATCTGCAATTTATATTCTTTAGTACTACAATAGTTAAATGTGAATAGCTGGAACATGTTTATGTATTAGATATCTTGAATTGTAGACTCCCTTGAAAACCCTTCAAGACGGAGTAAAGTGGGATGCCTGGTGGCTCAGCCTTAAGTGTCTGCCTTCAGCTCAGGTCATGATCTCAGGGTCCTGGGATCAAGCCCCACATCAGTTTTCCTGCTCAGTGGGGAGTATCTTCTCCCTCTCCCTCTGCCCTTCCCCGTGCTTGTACACTCTCTCTTCCCCATCCCCCCATCAATTAAATAAATCTTTAAAAAATCAATTAAATTTAATTAAATTTAAAAAGATATGCACAAATGATGCCATGCCTGCAATAATGCAAATAAGTAGGTGAGAGTAGTTAAAGTGATACAAGAAGAAAATGAAAAATGTACTAGAACTTCAGGTTGGGTAGTAGTCTTTTTCTGGGCAAAGTGGAATTAAGATAGTTCTTGTGATGAGAGCAGAACATACCCAGTCAGGGATGGAAAGATGAGGTAACTTGCTGATCACCAATTCAGAAATGTAAAGTTGTAATATACAGTTATATCAAAGTAAAAAGAGAAAGAGTTAATGCATCCTGGACGATGTTGAGGACAGGATGAAAATACTGAACATGAGATGCACACCCACATCCCTTTTTTTTTTTTTTTTTTTTTTTTTTTTGAGATTTTGTTTATTTGAAAGAGAGAAAGAGAGCACAAGCAGGAAGGAGGTGCAGAGAGAGAGGGAGAAGCAGACGGGGCTCCATCCCAGGACCCTGAGACTATGACCTGAGCCAAGGCAGATGCCCAACTGACTAGGCCACCCAGGCACCCCCCACATCCTACTTTTAGCAATAGAGTTTGAGAGCATTAAATCTGCAAAAGACCATAGATACCATCTAGGCACATAAATCAAGATCACATAGAAGCTACCTACTCTCCTTACCTGCTTCTACCTAGACCACTGAGCTGACAGGCCAGAGGTGAAGCCTGAAATCAGTTAAGGCAGAAAAACATCCTACTTGGGAGCAGAAGTCTCTTGGCAGCTCCATTGATGAACTCAGCTCCATCTCCTCATTCCTCATGCTAATTTCACGATGGGATGACATACAGTCAGAACATTCTGAAATAAAAATCACATTGCTGAAGGTCTAATTTTTGTTGTTAAACAATTTTTCTTATTATTTCAATACAAATTTACCTGGGCCATTTTTACAGAATGAGGGAGGAAGAAAACTATTAGAATGTATGTGAGAGCTTTTTAAAATAATTTATCCTTCTGGATTCTTGTTAACAGAGTTTTCAAATTGACTGCACTTCAGTTACCTAAAGCAATCTGCTAGAGGGCCCAAAGTTCCAAAGTAACAAAGTGATAAGATGTAAGAGGCAGTGTAGTCAAGTGAAAGAAAAGTAACCAATGAGATTGGGGTCCGGAGAAACTTCAGTCACTAAGTGGCTCTGGCCAAGTATGTGAATCCTGTAACTCCATTGGCTTAAGATTCTTCAAAGAGAAAGCGAAGCAGTTGACATATAGTGACAGAGCCCCTTCAAACTGAACTTTTACACTAAATAGGAAGAACTCAACAGAAGTGCTTTATAAATTCATAAATTCATCTAGAAAAATCACCACCTCTATAATAAAGCTGAATCAAATGCACTTACAAGCCTTTTAAACACACATAGGATATATATGAGTGTAATGTAAATATATGAAAATTAGTGTGTATTGCAAGGTATTTCTTCTGTTAAGATGGAAGAACCCCTATAGCAATGCAGAGCCAACAGAGGGCGTTTGGTTCCTGAGCCTCTTCACAGAACAAGTGAACCAGCTCTGCATCTTGCTTTGCTTCGACAGTTTTGCCAGCAGCTGCTATGCTACAAATCTGAGCAAAATTTGCTTGCAGTTTTTCAAATTTCAGATTTTTCAAAGGGGTGAACATAAATGCCTTTGAACATACTCCCCAAAGTGAAAAATCCAGAACAAACCACATGTGTATGTGAAGTAATGAAAATGCTTACATTCTCTGAAAAAAATGTTAAGATTGTAAAGAACTGAGACTGAAATTGGAAATTGGCTGTCACCTTTTATATGTTAGGAATTGTTCGTAAACTCATTTGAGTACATCAGTTCAGAGACAGAAATTAATCTGGTCCCTATAAAGTCTACAATAAAAGCAGGTAATTCGGGGCGCCTGGGTGGCTCAGTGGGTTAAAGCCTCTGCCTTTGGCTCAGGTCATGATCTCAGGGTCCTGGAATCGAGCCCCGCATCAGGCTCTCTGCTCAGCGGGGAGCCTGCTTCCCCCTCTCTCTTTCTCTTCCTGCCTCTCTGCCTACTTGTGATCTCTGTCAAATAAATAAATAAAATCTTTAAAAAAAAAAAAAGGTAATTCACCTCATCAAAGTCAAGAACCACCTTATGAAGATACATTTCAATAGAAAAATGATTGTAAAAATTATTGATGCTTTCGGAAATCATAACTGAATGTTAAAATTTCAGCCCAGACAGCAAGATAAAATAGATGTGAAATCTAAAATCAGACTTCCCTATGCAGAATTTGCAGACACTTTGGAAACTACTTCCATGACTTTTAGACCCTTCAACCATCATACAGAATCAAAGGAGGCATGTAAGTTCCTTAGGGCACCATAACAAACTTGCACAAACCGTTTGGCGTGAGCAATAGAAGTTCATTGTGTCTCAGTACTTGAGGCTACAGTCAGAAATCACAGTGTCAGGAGGGGCTTATTTCTTCCAAAACCTGTAAGGGAGAAGCATTTGTTGCTGCTTTTAACTTGTGGTGTTCGCCTGCAATCCCCATGGCCTGTGATGATGCATTGCTCCGATGGAGGCATTTTTTTCTGTGTATGTCTCCATCTCTGCCTTCTAAGGACACCAGCCATTTCGGGTTAGGCCTCCACCCTCTCCAGTATGATCTCCTCATCACTTACCTAATCCCATCTGCAATGACCTTACTTCCAAATACATTTACATTCTGAGGTGCTTAGAGGTGAAGGACTTCAGCATTTCTTTTGGGGGACACAATTCAACCCATAACAGGAGGTATCACAAGATGGAGAGGATTCGGGTTTTCTATGAAAAGAGCAGTTGCCCTCCCTCTAGAGAAGAGGGGGTGGGATTCTAGTTTCCAGGGACAAACCTTACTGAGGAGGACTCAAGGCAGGGGTACCTTCCTGGTTGTGCAACCCATGCCCTCAAGAAGAGCCCTACAATTGGAAAGCCTTAATAATTTTTGAACAGTAAATCCTGCATTTGCATTTGGCACTAGGCCCTGCAGATTACACAGAACACCATTTTAAGCACTTGTTTGCTGTGTGCTTGCTGCTCTTGGGGAATGTGGCAGGCTGTGACTTGACTCACACGTCGTAAAGCTGGCCTGTGACAACTGAAGTGACTCTACCGCCTGAGTCAGCTCGCCTCCCCAAGTTGCTCAAGTCGTAAGAAGTGGCCCACTTACAAAACACGCGTTGTCATCTTCATAGCACGCAGTGAGAGGTGCTTAGCAATGAGAATCTCCCAAGAACCATAAATGCTCCCAGGAGAAGGAGCTTGAAATCTCTGCCATGCCAGAGATCAGGAAGGAGTTACCAAGAGACAGTTTAGGTAAGACCTCTTACAGAGGCTTTTATGACCCTGGGGGAATCAAAACCCAGTTAGCAGCCTTCAGGAATATGGGAGTGGGCAAGACAGATAAGAAAGAAAAGAAGTTCTCAAGATGGTAAAATAGAGAAGTTCACCAAGCCCTAACCCACTGCAGGCTTCCAGCCTAAAGCACATCCAATTTCAAGAAAAGGAGATTTGGGATTACATTCCTTTCAGAATTTCGATTAATAATGTTAAACAGATCATTCTAATTTCTGAACTGAATTCCTAGGGGTCCTGGACAAGTAAGCAAAAAAACCTATAGTTTCCATCTAGGAGTAGGGAAAGATGCATTATTTCCTTCAATGTAACGGTGTTAGGGGCTGAGTTGTGTCCCCCTCCCCATTCGTATGTTGAAGTTCTAATCCCAGTATCTGAGAATGTGACATTTGGAGATACAGGAGCTCTAAAGATGTGATTGAGATAATTAAAGTGGTCCCTAACCTAATATGGATGTTGTTTTTATAAGAAGAAGTGATCAGGACACAGGCATCAAAGTAAGACCATGGAGGACACAGGGAAAAAATGGTCATCCACAAGCAAAAGAGAGAGGTCCACAGGAGAAACCAATTGCACTGATAACCTGATCTAGAACTTGTGGCCTCCAGTACTCTGAGGAGATTAAAAGCCATCTAGTTTATGGTACTTTGTTCTGGCAGCCGTAGCAAACTAATGTAATAGGAGACAATAAAAACTGCATTGTTGTAGTCATCAGAGTAGTTTTGGAAGGGCCCACAAAAACGGAACAAAGGATCTATCACTTCTTATAAGATAGCTGAACCTAGAACAATTGAGTAAAATTGGCCTCTGTGGTGGTTGTTTCTACAGCAAGCGTGACCAGCAGACTACAGAAGAAGATGTCTAGTGCTAGATGGCTGATAATTTTATGTGTTAGAACAAATATGAAGATTAGTGCAAAACGGAATATTCAAAGCACCATAAATTATTGCATCTATACAGTTCATGTAAAAAGCTCTGCTTACAGAAGACGTGGTATATATACACAATGGAATACTATGCAGCCATCAAAAGAAATGAAATCTTGCCATTTGCGACGACGTGGATGGAACTAGAGGGTATCATGCTTAGCGAAATAAGTCAATCGGAGAAAGACAACTATCATATGATCTCCCTGATATGAGGGAGAGGAGATGCAACATGGGGGGTTAAGGGGGTAGGAGAAGAGTAAATGAAACAAGATGGGATTGGGAGGGAGACAAACCATAAGTGACTCTTAATCTCACAAAACAAACTGAGGGTTGATGGGGGGAGGGGGGTTGGGAGAGGGGGGTGGGGTTATGGACGTTGGGGAGGGTATGTGCTATGGTGAGTGCTGTGAAGTGTGTAAACCTGGCGATTCACAGACCTGTATCCCTGGGGATAAAAATATATGTTTATAAAAAATAAAATTAAAAAAAAAAAAGCTCTGCTTACTACACTTTGCAATAATGTTAAGTTGGTACATATAGGAATATGAATGTAATTGTACAATGGAACGACAGGACAAACTTATTTAATATATGTATGAACTGTGTCACACGTGGTTTCTAACACATATAGGTGCTCAGTTAATGTTAACTTTCTCCATATTCCTCTTTTATAGTGGATGGAAGGACACTGAGATTGATTATTTTACTCTGCTTCTAGTCCCCTTCGTTTAAAGTGATGAGACTTTGATTTAATGCATTGTTACTAGAATCATCCTGGCATTGCAGCAACTGAAATACGTGCTAAATCTAGTATTTGTGTTAACTCACTTCTGGTTTTCGTGAGAATCAGTATTGATAACCAGTGATAAAGCAATTTGAGTGGTAACTAGAAAGGGGGGAATAGTGTCCAATTTTTGTAAAAGAACATACAAGTAGACTTCACTAATGAGGGACTCGATCTTGTAAAGCCATCACCATGTGTGATGCTTAAGTTAATGTGCTTCATATGTGTTCAGAATTGAAAATCTTACCTTATAATCAGGCATAAGTGTTTTAACTGCAACAGGAGAGCAGGTCAGGCAGATACTCTGCCAGGAACTACACGTACCAAACTGAGATGTGGGGTACTGACACGGGTAACAGCCGTAGGGAGTCCTCACTTCCTGGAGAATCTAAAATGAGATGTGAGGTTGTCCCCAAAGTCGTAAGAAACTCAGTAGAGGCTGACTATATATGCTGCAAGGGTCAGGACACTCTGTCATTGGTATGAGAGCCCCTCCTCAAGACTGTGTGCCAAACCCTAGGCAAGAGCCGAGCCTGGTGGGCTCCTGTTCTAAAATTCTTTGGGAACTGGACGTACTATCAAGGCAGGAATCCATATACAAGGCCATATCCTGGGAGCACCTCTAGGCCTGGGGTAATAACGCTAGCTGTCAGCCACTGCTATCTGTGTACCTGGATCTCTACAAAGTACTTTGCATGTAAAATTTTCATCTGTCCCAAAGTGAGTTCCATGAACCTCCTGCAGTAGGAGATATAAAAAGCATGAAGATGACAATTATGGGTAAAAAGATAATAGATATAAAGGGTAAATAATTGAGATCAAGCCTAATAATTTCCAGGTAAAAATCAAGAAAGACATATGTATACTGATGCACTTTTTATTATTATACAGAATATAAACAATCTTAGGAACACCTCTGCATAAAAATGAGATTCTCAGGTATGAAAAATAAATTAATCCTGTTAATTATTCATTAGGATTTGTTAACCAATTAATGCCAGAAAATAAAGCATTATATACATATTTTTTTTAAGATTTTATTTATTTATTTGAAGAGAGAGAGTGAGAGCACAAGCTGGGAGATGGAGACGGAGAGGGAGAAGCAGGCTCCCTGCTGAGCAGGGACTCCCCCCAGCGCAGGGCTCAATCCCAGGACCCCAGGATCATGACCTGAGCCGAAGATAGCTGCTTAACCAACTGAGCCACTCAGCCATCCCTATACAGATTTTTTTAAAGAAAAATTATTTGTGAGACAAGTATTTTTTTTCAAGTGCAAAGGCCAAAGAAAGATAACTTCAGATAATATATATATGCTCAGAAAATATTCTACAAATATATCTTTCTTGAATATAAATCACTTAAAATAGCTACTGATTGACCATAAATGAATTAAAGTTAGGAATTAAGGAGCAAAGAATGTGATTGACTTCTCTCAACAGGTAAAGTCTCCAAACTATTGTAAGAGATCTGAGGAGAAATCATTGTTCAGGCCATAATTATACAAAATTAGTGGCAAATGTGTACAAAATTAGTGGCAAATATGGATACTTTGGTGTTTCCATTTACATTGGCATCTGTATACAACTAAAAGTATAATTTCTATGTGGAAAATTACACTTCACATTAAAACAAAAGATTAAAGAAATTTCTCTAGAAATTTCCCTCCTTCAAATTAAGGTTTATTACTAGTTCATTTACTTAAATATGTTTATATGAAATTAAATATTGTATTAATGCAGACCATGTTTGGAAAGGATAAAGTACTAATTATCTGATACGTGTTTCTTTTATTCTCTTAATTTAATCATAATTTCCATTAAAAGTGTGAATATTAAGGGCACCTGGGTGGCTCAGTGGCTTAAGCCTCTGCCTTCAGCTCAGGTCATGATCTCAGGGGCCTGGGATCGAGCCCCACATTGGGCTGTCTGCTTAGCAGGGAGCCTGCTCCCCACCGGCCCCCCCGCTCTCTGCCTGCCTCTCTGCCTACTTGTGATCTCTGTCAAATAAATAAATAAAATCTTTATTAAAAAGTACTAAAGATAGAAATTTTTTTTCTGAATGCCATACATGAGATCTATATTTTATATAGTTTAATTAAATGAACTTCATATATTCTCAAGTTTTTACATCTTTGTGAAGAATTTCTTTTGAGTTTTTCTCCTACCACCTATGATTTTCAGGGAAGCCCTTAGTTCTGGAGAGGCAACCCTTTCAAGACTAACTCGTTCAGCTTACACACTAGGGCTCCAGAGTTTATAGGGTAATATTGAGCTGACTTCCTGTAATTTTACCAGTCTGTTTTGGGAAACTAAAAGATCCTCAAATAACCTTCCTCATTACACTACCTCTTGACATTGTAAGGAAAAAAATACCCACAGAATACTGAAGCATGCTTATCAGAGCAAACAGAAGAAAATAACTTCCATAATTATTAACTTAATAGCTCTTGTGACCCTTTAATAGTCAATGTTATAAATAAAATATTCATACCAGGAGTTTAAAAAATAGAGATTATTACAGTATCAGTTCAAGTTAGCTAACAGTGAATCTACAATCCACCGTAACATTTCTTGGCTATTTTGAGAAGTACTGTAGCCAAAACCAGCTATAATCATATGATAAAGATAAGTATAGAGCCTACCTTTTTTTAATGAGGTCTCTAGAGAAGCTCATTCTACAATGTTTGGAAACACACTGACAGTATTTAATAAAATTTACATGATGTTCTTATGGAGAGAAAGATTTAAATGTCTTCATGAAAAACACTGTTCTCTCTATAGAATTAGGGAATTGGTCATGTGGTGAGAACAAGGGCTGTATAGTTATATCTATACATATATATACATATATATAACTATATCCCTATAGTTAACTTTATTTTACTGAGTCTGTTGTGAGATATATAAGGCAAGTACAGGGCAGGAAATACGGTGCCAGCAAATAATGTGTTTAATAATTTGTTAAATTGAGGCTTCACAAAAACCTTTAACACAGATAACACTGTCCCTATTTTCCAGTTGAGGAAAGGGACTGAGAGATGCAAACTCAGTTTCTCAAGATCACACAGCAGAGACTGTTTGAAAACACAAGTTGATATGAACGTTTCCACAGAGAACTCTGCTATACTGTGACTTTTTTGTTTTTACGGGATTATTTCATCAGTTGAATTTTATATTTTCAGGTATTTTCTTATACTGCTGACAAAGAAATCCGAACCGATGACTTATGCTTGGATGTGTCTAGACTCAGTGGACCTGTAATCATGCTAAAATGCCACCACATGAGAGGAAATCAATTATGGGAATATGATCCTGAGGTATAGTCTTTTCCTTAACTTACTTACTATTTAGTGCTTAAATCCAGTTATATATTTCAAATACATTTCAATTCTGAGCTCTTTTTTCTGCGCTAGAAAAACTGTATTTTCAAGCATGCATTCCTCTGATAGCATTAGGATGGTATAGTATATAAATAGGGTTTTTTCAAACGCATTCATTAGTATAAAAATGAATAAGGAAAATAGTCATTTTTATGTGTTTAAAATGTGTGTGTACATGCTTAACATATATTAGGCAAAGGGGCCAGCTATGGTTATCTGAGAGGTGTGTATGAAGATACACATTATAGGACAATATCAACAATATTTCCATTTTTCAAATTTTATACTGTTTTAATAGGTGAAATTTGTCCTTCTCAATTTAAGGGGAAAAAAAGAGGGGGGAAAGCATGAATGCTTTTTATAATAGTAAATACTTTGCAAAATTCAATAAAGTAATTAGGCCCATAATCAACTAAACAGCATTTTCTCAATATAGCACATCTTTCTGATAGAAGAGTGGGAGAGAAAACAATAAAATTACAGTTGGGAATTTATAGCCGGGCAGTGTGTAAAAACCAGATCAACCATCAGATGGAGCTAATAAAAAAGAAATATCTTCTTCTCCATAAAGAAGTTGCCTTGAAACAGCTTCATTTCTTTCAGTTCCCTTGGCTTAGCAAAATGAAGTGGGTCATCTGTGTTACATTTTCCACATTATTAAATGGTTGGTGACTTATTTAAGATAAGAAATAAACTACTCTTGCAAGATAAATAATGCACTAGAGGCAAATGAATTTCACAAATGCAGTGTTCTACCTCAGCCCAAGATACTCAGCCAGTGTAACATTTAAAAAAACTAATCCACAGAGTCCTTGGTATTATTGATATTGCAATAAGGCCTTCTTATTTGAATGTCATTTCAAATTGCATGATGTAGTTTCTTAATAGGAAAACTTATTGAAGTTTTACATAATTTGAAACTGATTGTGTAGGGTTAAAATTTGACCTTAAAATTTATATAATAGAACTGAGCTCTCTGGACTTACAATGCTCTTCTGGGACATAAGGAAGGGCAAACATCTCGAATCTTTCCTATAATAGACCAGTGTGTTCTCTTCAGACTCTTGTGTCCCCGGTACCTTGTTTACCTCAGTCTGACCCCCATATTTTTTCCTCTTGAGCTCTCATCATACCACCCTTAATATTAAGACTGCAGAAGATATTTCCTTCAATAATACACGGAGGTAAACCTGGAACTTTGGCTCCCTCCCTCTTCTATTAGGAAAAGTACGATAAATGTTCAGATAAAAGAGAAATCCTGAAAGTAGTATTTTTTTAAATAAAATTTTTTGTTGTTGCTGTTGCCCTTTAGTTTTCACCAGGAGCTCAGGACTTTGTTGGGCTTGCATGAAAAATGAAGAAATCTAGCATATATTTCTAAGGGAAGGGGGATGAGTGTATATACTTTTTATAAGATGAAGCAATGTTGAATTTCAGGATACCACTTTAAATCTTCAAAATTTTCTTTAATCTTTGAGTAGATGATGGCTGCTATAGTCATAAGTCAGATTCTTTAATTTCTGAACTAACCATATTGTTAGTATATAGGTGTATATTTTACATTTTTACCAGCCAGCAGAAAGATTTTTGAATACTAAGGGATTTTGACAGTCTTAAAAGAGGAAAAAAAAAATAAAGGTTGCTTCACCTAGGACAGAGAAATGGTTTTTGTAAATTGACTATTTTTGATAACTAGTATTTATCTGTTGTAGGATTTTTCAAGCATTGCGATATTTCAGATCATGTAAACTTTGTTTCTAGAACACACACGAAAAAAGCTTATAATATGCTATAAATATGGAGAAATGGTTTTTAAATAATCTGATCATTGTGATGATTATGTAACATAGCTTACTCTATTCTCCTATATGTTTATGTTTTCAAAATTAAATTGTGGGGATACCTGGGTGGCTCAGTCAGTTAAGCATCTGCCTTCAGCTCAGGTCATGATCCCAGGGTCCTGGGATCGAGTCCTGCTTCAGGCTCCTTGTTAAGTAGGGAGCCTGCTTCTCCATAAGCCTGCCGCTCCCCCTGCTTGTGCCTTCTCTCTGACAAAATCTTTAAAAAAGTTAAATTGTGATGTTCAGCCTGCCAAAATTCAATATTTTAAATCATATAGGGTTTTTTTTGCCAATTTTATGAATGTATAAATCATGATGGAGAGAAGTCACAAAAGAATTGAATAATTATAGGAACAATGAATTGCCTTTCTGGAAATTTCAGCTTTGAAATAAGACTGATTTTATTTGTGGAAAATGTCAGAAAGAAACATTTTTTTAAAAAGAAATGAAAATATAATACACGGGGTCATTTTAGTCTATAGAATAGTCCCAACCCTCGCCACCTAAAGTGTAATTCTAGGACTAGTAACATCACCTGGGAACTTTTTAGAATTTAGGAACCGGAGAACCCTGTATCAGAGTCTGCCTTTTAACAAATCCCCAGGTCATTTACATACATATTAAAGTCTGAGAAGGGTAGATCTAGACAGTGGCCAAACATCTACTCATCTTTCTTAGTCTTTTTATACACTGTTGGAATTATTGCAAAGTTAGGAAAAAGGCATAAATACGCTGTGGAAAACGACAGGCCTCCAGGAGAGATGGGGGAGACATAAGGGGCCCAAGGGTGAGAGATGCTGAGATGGGAAAGAAGAGTCATTGCCACATCGGGCTGGTCGTCTGGCATCCACCCTGTGGGAAGTAGGAAGTGCTGCCTGCTACTTTTTAAATTCAGTTCTTTATCTGCTGCTGTCAAAGGCAAAATTATTTTTCTTTGAGAAACCTCTGAGGTGGTGTACTATCAAAGCAGAATAAAACTTGGTGGAGGTCACAGAATTATAAGAGCTGAAACTTTTCTTAAAGTTCTCGTCTTTCAGCCTTTATCTAGAGGAAAGTAAGCACAAAGATCACACCACCAGCAGCAGGGACCGGAGTTCACTTCTAAGGAAGTAATCAAAGAAAGCTAGTTACCAGGACAATGTGAAACTCGGTGTGAACAGCTCAAATATTCCAACACTTTGTCACCCATAGTACTTTCAGTTTTAGAAAAGCAAGTCATAAATAGCAGCAGAATTTTTGGAATATGCAGAGAAAAACTGAAACCAATTCATAAATCCTCTTCTTAGGTGAGGGGTGGGGGCAAAGAAAGGGAATGAAATTTATTGTCTGCAATTTCATCTGTTTTCTCAAGCAATTCTAACAATAGGCCTGTAAGATTATATTTTTATTTTTATTCTTTACATTATTAAATATAAGAGTGTTTAAATAGCTTCTCTAGGTTTTAGACCCCAGGTTTCTGGCACGGAATTTAGCCGTGTTTCTACTATGCTACCTTGCCTCTTGAGGTCATTGAGAAACTAGAAACAATTAGGCATTTTAAATGATGCTGACCTGATAAGCTAAATGTATTACTATAATAAATGAAAGGAGTGATTAAATATTATCAGTTATTTGTGGTACCAAATTTTATTCACATAGAATTTCTCCTTAATAACTGGAAAGATGTTCTGCAATAAACGTTGTCTACTTAGTTGAATAGTCATAAAAACCACTTTGTCAGTATGGTCTAATTGCTAAAAATTGTCTGTTTTGTTGAATAGTCATAAAACCACTTTGTCAGTATGGTCTAATTGCTTACAGACTTTACACATATTCATTATGATCTAATTGCTTCTCCTTTTATTTGAATGAAACTAAGCACATGTTGGTAATAAATACATGTCTTTGGCCAACTTTGATTTGAAATATAGAGGTTCCTACTTTCTTAGCTAAGTATTTTTTAGCACAGTCATGAATTTAATTCAGTTACCACTTTATAGCTGGCTAAATATGTTCAGTTTGGGGGCAACTGAGCACCATTAGCAGAACTACAAGACCCTCAGCTGGTCTAGCGTCTCTTAAATAAATTACCTGAACATTTTGTTGCCATGAAAGTGATTGCCATAGAACTAACACAGAAAAGGAACCCTAAATTGTGTCTCACTGAAACATTTTTAAGGATATTTTTAGGGGCACCTGGGTGGCTCAGTCAGTTAAGCATCTCCCTTCAATTCAGGTCATAATCATGGACTCCTGGGATCAAGTCCCGTGTCCCGCTCCCTGCTCAGCAGGGGAGTCTGCTTCTCCTTTTCCCTCTTCTCCTTCTTTCTCTCAAACAAGTAAATAAATAAATAAAATATTTTTAAAAAGATTATTTTTATAAAGTTCTGTCATCTATCCATTCTGTTTTATTCAGATTTTCTCATATTCTGTTTGAACACTGCAGTTGTGTTCCAATCCATCTGAAATTTACATTTTCTGACAATAAGTGCACATAATCACATTTCTTTTAGAACATCCAAGCAGCTATATACAGTGTAAGAATCTAATTTTAGAACAGAACACTTATGCTCAACAAACACTATGCAACAAAGAAAAAAAAATAAGGGAGCAAACTATGATGCTAAAAATAAGTCTTGTTTTTCATGTGACTGAGCAAGTTGACTGAGAAGATGAATTCAATATCTATCTGTATCCAGTGTTTCCTAGAGTCACAAGATAAGGGATTTTTTTCAGTAGGGAAAATATGTCGGATTGATATTTACTGAAATCACACAAGCTTATATTCAGACTTTACTTAATACCTCCTCTTTTATTTACCTTTATCAGAAAGCAGGTAAATGGCAGTATAATTTCAAGGTAAGTAGTCTATAATGGCAACACGGCTGTTTCCCTGTGTAGCACTCCTAATGAAAACAGTGGCTCAGTTTACCTTTAGAAGGCTGTGTGTATCTGACTAGTATTACCTTTCCACATTCCCACTGACCCATAGCTGTGGTTTCTTACGTAGACTGAAGTAGTGAATAGGAACTGTGGTAGTATAGTATTGCAATTTTAGTTCTTGTCTCTTAAACATTTACACTTGGTCTTTAGCATACTTATATTCTGTTCTAATAAAACATGGTTCACCTTGTCAGGAGATCATACTTAATATTTTGAATAACAACTTTATTTTTTTTTAATTATGATTTTGCACTTAACCAATAGGGAAATTTTACTGCCTTGGCTATTAAAGATCTGTAACAGTCTGTTTTTTCTTACTTTGTTCATTATCATATATAACAGTCAATTGAGTTTCATTTTAAACTTTTTAACTCTTTAAACTTCATTTTAGTATGGCATCTTTTACACAGAGGCCAATATGATTAACTCTTTAATCAACCATGCAGTCATTTCTGTTCATTAAATTATCAGGTTTTTTACTTAGTGCTTTTTAATAAAGAAGGTACAAAAGTATGACTTGATTTTATAATTTTGTACGTCTTAACTTTGTCATGAACCTTGTTTTCCTAGCCTGATTCCCATAGTCCTTGCCTCTTCAAAAGGATAGATGGAGGGATCCTCCATGACACATCTTGTCTTAGATAGCAAAACATACAGGTGTGTTTAAAGGCAGGAGTTACGAATTGTTTTCTTGTATATCTTAAAGCAGTATGTCTAAAATTCTGTCAGAAATACTAGTGCTTTATACCTCAGAGGAGAATAATATTATAAACAAAAACCAATCTAGCTTAGGGTTCATATTACCCTGCTTTCTAGTGAATATTTTAAATGAAGCAATAGGAAGAGATACGTGGCAGTATGCTTCCTGTCAGCTGGAATGTCACATTACCTTCAAAACTGAGTGAATGTGACAGTCTTCCAAAGTTGTGAGAGGCCTTAGCAACAAGTATGGTAAGGGCTGATTTGCTGCATAAAAAGGAGTTAGAAGAAAAAGAAGTGTACACCCAGGGGCGCCTGGGTGGCTCAGTGGGTTAAGCCACTGCCTTCGGCTCAGGTCATGATCCCAGGGTCCTGGGATCGAGTCCCGCATCGGGCTTGCTGCTCAGCAGGAAGCCTGTTTCCCTTCCTCTCTCTCTGCCTGCCTCTCTGCCTACTTGTGATCTCTCTCTGTCAAATAAATAAATAAAATCTTTAAAAAAAAAAAAAAAAAGTGTACACCAGTATAAAAATAAGCAAAGTCTTGAATAATTAGCACAGAAGAAATATTTAAATTAACCTTATTTTTCCACTTTCATGGGCTATTTGTAACTATTAAAAATACATAAAAAATCATTTCATCTGTGTTCTTTTCTCTTTATTATCCTGTCTATGTCAAGAAATGTTTTCATGGGACACACAATACTGGTGTAGTGTAGTAAAACTGACACACATACAGTACCCTGGCATATAAGCACAAGAAATGTTAGCTGCTACTGCTATTAGTACCAAATAATTATTACAGATTTTTAAAAACTTTGCCATTATATATTACAATGTTCATACCTTTTGACCTTGTGATTTCCCTTCTAAGAATCATTTCTGAATAAATGGCTGTAGATGTGGAGAGAGATGATCAGAGCTGTTTGTGATAGCATTATTTATAATAGCTCCAAATTGGAAAAATACTCCCTCTAAATGGAAAAGTGAAATGACTTTTGGCAAATCTACTTTGTAAAAATTGTGTATTTCTTATGTTTTTAGATTAATGATAACAAAGGTGATAAGAATTGATAAGAAAACCCACAATAAACTGGGAGTATATTTAATTGGATGACCACAGTTAATACATTTGCATATTATAAATGCTAGAAATAACTAGAAAACACATAAAATATTAGTAATTGGTATCTCTTCTAGACAGAATATTCAGAAAAATAAGTAAACTACATTTCTTTTTCAAACAAATAAAAATGCTAAATGTTTTTGTGGGTATTTTGTAAAATGAAAAATACCCTTTATCTCAATGAAATTATTTGAGATTTCTAATTTTTCTTCTGGTTTAATGGGTTTTCAGAAGCACCAGGAGTGAAAGTTCTTTGAAATTTTTTCATGGTAATTCACATGATAATATTTTGGGGGAAATATTACAAATGTATTTATGAAAAAAATTATAGTATGTTTATGTTCTGGTTTCATTTTAAATCAAGAGCAACTTTATAATTTATTTTTGTTTTTAATAACAGATGAAATTCACAATCACTAACACTGGGGTCTTTGATGTTAACATGACATTTACCAGGAAAAATTTGGTTTAAAAAGAAACATCACTGAAGGTAGAGGATTAACAAGCTTAGGAATTTTAAACAGGATAGATAGGAAATTCAGGTATGGCTAAAAAAACAAAAATGAAAACAAAACTAGCCTCCTTAACAAATCAGACTATGTAGTTAACATTATCATTTTACAAATAAAATTATATATGATCTTACCTTTCATATCTTTATAAATCATTGTCTACCATTGTCCTTGAAATGGAAAATCTAATGATTTGTGTCCATTGAGCTGCCAAAGGAATGTAGTCCAAGTTTATCAGAATTTATTTTCTGCATTGGCCATTCACCATGTGTTTCAATCAAAACTTAACAAAGTGCCTCCCGTGGGCAGGCACTGGGCTTGATGACGTATGCAGTCATAGTTCCTGGTCTTCCTGGAGCTCAAGCTCCTGAAGAGGAAATATATGAAAAACAAGAAACTAATTAATTACAAATTGTGTTTAGGAGAATTAGATCAAATTAAGAGCCCAAGTGGAGCTGACCTTTTTCTTTTTCCCGCTCTTCCTTAACTTTCTAACTGACATTTAGCTGAACGTGGCCATGTCGATGTGCAACCCTGGTTAGACCTCTGAAAACATAATGGAAACAGGTTAACACAGGTTAGCCCTGTGAAAACATTATGGAAATAATTCGAGTACCACACTGTACAGAGTGAAGCAAAGAGTTAAAGCTAAATCATCCCCTGGATTTTCCACTGGGTCCACTCAAATTTAGGTCAGAGGAATGAAGCAGCCAAAAACCATAACTGAAAACTCTCTAGATAGCCAACAGTTTTGAATATCTCCTCACAAAATAACCCATTTAGCACTAAAAAAAAAAAAAAAAAAAAAAAAAAAAAATTATCACTAGAATGAACAATGAGAATATACCTTTTCTGCCCAAAATAACCTTTTGCTCAAAATGTTTCACCATTTGATCTCAGCTCTTCTCCAGCTTTCCAGCCTTATCTTCATTTACCCCTACTTAATACAGTTAATACTAACGCCATCTAAAAGGAGGTAGCTCATACTTCCATGGGTGCAATTATTGTGTTGTGTGCTTGCCATCCTTATCCAGTAGAAATTGTATGTTGCCAAGAATGATTGATTTATTACTGCCTTTGTACTTGATTTTGTCATTATTCATTATTTTCTTTGTCAAACAGACCCACACTCTTCTTCACATAATCACCCAGTCCTGTCTCTCAGTAAGCAGAGTAGCTGATGGCTCCCAGCAGCCCACTGTGGAAACATGTAATGATAGCCCTTTGCAAAAATGGCTACTAAGAAACTATACAAGGATGGAAGTTTTTAGAAATATTTTTAAGAGTCCTACTGATTACATTCTCTAATAAGTTTTGGAAGTTTGTGTTGTAGACTGTGCTAAAATTATTTTACTAATTTTGTCATGTTCTGTTACTGAAATCTAGAAACTTCTTTAAAATGTACTTAAGAAAAATCTTGATGTGCTATTTCTCCATGGAATTATTTTTCTGTCTTTAACTTCTTAGCTGCGTGTTAATTTGGAGGCTGACTATATTAAGTAGTGTTTGCTCTATTATTAATTAAAAGTATTTTCCAGTTTTCACTTTATTTCAAATATTTGTATATGCATAAATATAATTAACAGAATACATTACATTAGCTCCTTTTAAGGCTAACTATAGCCATGTTTATGTAACAGTAGATTTTGCATTAGAGCTGAGAAAAATCAGTTTAAAAAAACTAACATAGCCAAAAAAAGGATTGTTTTTGGAACATTAAAATTAATTAATTTTGTTAATTTTTATTCCAATACTTCCACTGTGTGCACATTTAGGACAGCTTTTCTAGAATTTATTTTAACCTGAGACTTTAAGCAAATGCATTTTTGAAAACTAAGATGTACTTTTCAGTAACATTATAAATTATATCTAAGTATTTCTTTGTGGTTGGTGAAGTGATATAATAATAAAAGCTTTTAAAAAATTTTACCTCTTATCACTTGTGTGATTTGTGAATATCTCCTCAGTAAGCGATAAAATGAATCATTCAGCTGAAGTCAAAAAACTGTTATGGAATTTTTATAGAGTGCAAATAAGAATATGTCCTAGTTCTTGATCTTAAGGGGATTATTGTCCTGTAAATAAAGGATATTACATTGTGCAGTACCTTCCTGTGACAACACATGGGAAGTTAGGGCATTGTTCTGGTTCCAGTGAACCAGGTAAAGGTTGTGAGTAGAAGGCACAGTTGAGCTTGGAATGCTCCTGACAAGGCTGAATGAGGTATAGAGAGGTGCGGAGAGCCATTAGAACTACCTTTGAGATGTGTTAGAAAGCTGGAAAAGTCTGGACTCCTTGCACAGAGAACTGTGTATGTGTATAAGGCAATTGACATACATTATGTTTGTTTCCAAAGCATACTTGGTAGTGTAATGCCTAACAAGGGGTCTTATTAGGCTTACCTAGACATTTAGTCTCATGAGTTTACTTACAGAATTCTCGGACAGAAACCACAACTTACTTCTCTCAGCAGACCTCTTAGCAGTCCGTATTAGCTTAGGGGAGCCAGCTTTTCCACAGGTGACAGCCCACTGGGAGGGGATGAGAGCCATATCAGGCGGGTGTGGCTTTAAGACTCACAGGAGACAGCTCTGTAACAACTCCATAGCCCAGCTCCTAAGACCCAGAACATATGCAAAATTCCAGTCTTGACACTTTTGAGAAGTCCACAGTTGGGTTTCCTATCAGTTATTTATAATGTAGTTGATCAGATACAGATGCAGTTTATTCTTCAGAGGTTATTTTTACCATCTGCCATGTTGCCTAGAAACATGTTAACATCGTTACTCTTATCAGATTGCTAAGGGATCACAGTTACATAGTTGACTAAAGGTTAACTTTTTTTTTTTAAGCGGAAGAGAAAAAGGCATTTTTAAATACTCCTAAGTATAATTAAGCATTTTCTGACAAAGAATCTGATTCCTCAGAATGATTTGGTAGCTTGCCCAAATTTTCATGGCTAGTAAATGGGGGAGCAGGAACTCTCCCTAAATTCTGTCTAATCTGACCCTATCTGACCCTAAACTGTCTAATCTTTCTACTGCACTCCATTAAAAAGGGGAGGTTTTTGGTGAGTTGCTTGTTATCTTTACAACGGTGGCTTTTGACAAGTGAATTTCTTCAAAGAAAATACTTGTTACCAAAAAAAAAAAAAAAACCTAATCTTTTTAAAACTATCATTATTTGTGTACCTAACTCATAATTCGATCTGATCCTTAAAGTCATATACATTTGAAAATAAAAAGATCTAATCAAAGCAAGCAAAGGCAAATGGCTTTTTTGAAAGAGGACATATATACACAAAGGACCTCAGGTACATAACAAAAAGAATATTTTATTGATTTTAACTGAAATTTTCAGTTAAATTTTCAGAAAAAGTATTTTGTTCTATATCCTTTTTTTCATGTTGGTTGCTGGTTCATAAGCCAACAGCATCATCCCTGGCACCATAAGAGTAAATTAACCATCTTCTTGCCTGTCTTTGGCCTTTGGCCATTTCATCCTCTCTCTCTCTCTCTCTTCTTTTTTTTTTTTTTTTTTTTTATAAATAGCTTGATTTCATGTATTGAAAGAACAACAAAGGCCTCAATCTTGAAATCTCCTTCCTGTCTAATAGCCTTGTGCTTTTAATTTCCTGCTCATTGCCAATGAACCATCCCACCACAATCCTATTTTCCCTTCAGTCTTTCCTCAGGATAGTGCAGCCCAGGATATGCAGTCCTAATCCAAACAAATTAAAATTGTCCAGGCAGTGTTTCTCCACTATTTTTATTGCATGCATCCACTATGCATTTTTTTTAAACCCAACTTTAGTGTTATTTCCAGAGCTGCCCCCTGCAAAAATGTTTACCTTTTAGTATTGGCAACAGAAGTATAGGGCATGCTCTTTTTTTGAGATATACCTGCAAATCACCCTCCATACATTCAAACAGTTTTCTTCTGGTTTAAGGTGTTTCATATAAAATGGTTCTAAGCATCGCCCATGAAACTGAGCAGAAATGTATATAATACATATGCTAGATTAATATGCCTAAAACACATGGACTTAAAATGTGAATCCGGGGGTGCATGGGTAACTCAGATGGTTCAATGTCTGCTTTCAGCTCAGGTCATGATCTCTAGGTCCTGGGATCAAGCCCCAAGTCAGGCTCCTGCTCCTGACTCAGTGGGGAGTCTGCTTTTCCTTCTCCCTCTCTCCCCTGCTCATTCTCTTTCTCTCTCAAATGAATAAAAAAAAAAAAATCTTTCAGATGTTCATTTGAAAAGTTCAAAAAACAGGATTTCAAAATATAAATATAAACTCAAAAGACATGTGATGACTGGTTCACATGCTAAAATTACTGGAATTAAATTTCAGCATTCGGGTACTGAGAGGATGCTTATTAATGAATATCATTATTATTCACAAAGTAAAATACACATATGATATTTCAAAACATATGACCATAACATCTCTTTTTATATTTGGTTTGATATTTTTTAAGATTCTTAAAATGAAAACCAAAATATGGTGAGCATACGATCAAGTAACACAGGTCTTTGTTGCTATGATAATCATTCGTCTACACTGAATGTCTCATAGACACAGATACTATGGAGTGCTTAGTATTTTGAAATGGGAACATCTCTACAGGTTTTGTTCATTTGGGTCACAGCTGTGACATCTCTTTGCATGTTTACCAAATGGTTACTGAATTCACACATGCCTAAGAGAACTAAGCTTTTGTGAAAGCATGTTAATATTTGCAGCCCTCAAGTGAACTCCAAGCTCACAAATGGCCTTTTTGCAAAGGAGACTGAATTCTTGGAAATGCATGATAAATGTCAGCCAGTTTCTTTAGCCATCTGCAGCAAAAGGTGCATTAGACAATGGATGAAACTGTAACAATGAAATTTGTGTAATAATTCAGAGCCACGTGCACAGTTCATTTTACAAACCTATCACTGTGTGTACTAAAAAAATTATGAAGGATTTTTAAGATTCTCTTTTAAATCTCTTTAAAATTCTCTTTAAATCTCTTTTAAGATTTAATGAGATGAACTAGTGAAGTTAAAGATAAAATAGGTTGCACTGATTATTCGTTATCTTTTACAGAGACTCACCTTGAGACATGTTAACAGTAACCAATGCCTCGATGAACCTTCTGAAGATGACAAAATGGTGCCTACCATGCAGGACTGTAGTGGAAGCAGATCCCAACAATGGCTGCTAAGGAACATGACCTTGGGGGCATGAAGATTGTTTCCCCAAAGCCATGAAAGCATCTACACTTTTGTTTTTCCATTATTTCAATTAGGGAAAGATAATTAACTTTGCTGAATTGAAAGTTTTAAAATCCTTTTAGTATTCTAAAATACAGTTGTTTATAATTCATTTTTAGGAATGTTTGCTTATTTCCCTACTAAAATTTGTATCTGATCAAAAGAAGCACATACCATATATAAATAACAGCAAACTGTTATTAAGCAAACATCAGAACAACTTGAAATATAAATTGTGTTTGCTTTAAAAAAAAGAATCTCTATTGCCCTCATCTCATAAGATCAGTCAGGGCTTTAATTTTGTTTTTGTCGTAGTGATTAAAAGAGAAACAATGTAAATGCCTTATAAAATATCTTCATTGTGATATATTATCAATTGTTTTAAAAACTCACTGTTTCTAATGGACCTTCATGGCAACATGTTGAATTTCTATGTCAACAACAAGGCCACATATTGAATTATTTCTGAGCAGTGAATTCATCGTACAAGATAAGTTTCAATTTTGTAGGAAAAAAATTAAATTGGATATTGACTTCTCAAAGAGTCCTTACAAAAGCATCACCATTAAACAAAATAGAGGAGAGTTTGAAAGTTCAATTTCAAGTATGTGAAATCAGAGGAAACTAGCTAGGCATTGAGGAGAGCAAGATGAAGTGAAACTGAAAAAAATAAATCATTTTAAAAGACATTCTCTTCGGGTTCCAATCACTCCTAACACAGGTTGAGCATAACAGTCATCTTGGTCCCAGAGTTGATGCTGGAAACTCCATTCTTAACCACTGCCTCTGTCTCACAGAAACTACACAGACCATTTTCTCTTCATGCTAGAGAGTGACTTGTCTCTAACGCTGTACAGAATTGTAGGTGAAGGGTATAGTACTTTCCATAATATTTAATTCTTTTACATTTGAAGGTTCTAGTTAGGTCACTATTACCATTTTAATTGTATGTTTTAAAAAATAATGTGCTACTATCAGAATTTCACTGCCATCCAATAGTTTCTAAAGTTTTCACCAGGGGCATGAACTCAATACACATCCATTAAACTTTTATTTTAATTAAACTGCTTGAAATAATTTGCCATAAACTATAGTTCAAGGAAGAATAATAATTAGGCCAGCTTCACGTGTTCTTTTTCCATCTTAAAACCCTCTATGTTCAAAATACATGAGCAGAAGATGTGAAAAGGAAAGAAAATTTATCTGAGATTCGTGCTAAGCCTTTAGTTTTAGGATCTGACACTGTTTAAAATGCTCATAGAGTTGTTCAGCATATGTATCTTATTCATTATATGTGCACTCGGCTGCTAAAAGAAATTTAGGGGGAAAATGGAAGAAGCATCCTCTGGAGCAAAAGATGCTACATTTTTGGCCCCATCTTTTCTTAAAAATCCCTGAGAGATACTTTTAATCAGTATGGCTACACAAAAATTCTCTCTTTGTCTCTATATGTCTCTCTTTCTCTCTCTCTCTCTCTCACACTCACACACACACACACACACACACACACTCACACACACACACTGCTTTATGAAAAGGAGGACACTTTCTGAAGGCCAGTAAAATCCTGTGTGATTTTCCCAGCTAGCATCCCCTCTTTTGGCTGTACACTGGTACAACTCTAAAGATTTCTACAACCCGAAGCAATTCAGGTTTACTCATTAAAGTGTACACACCCCTCACCTCAAGGTGGCTGAGAATCCGTCAATCTCCTAAAATTTTAAACAAAAGTTTGAGTGTTGGGGCCTATTGTTTTGAGGAAAGAATCTCTAGCTTAGACCAAACTTCAAAGGAAGCTATGCCTCCCAAGAGTTAGTGAACCACTGCCTTAAATTGATAAGGGCCTCACAAGACAACCGAGGCTTAACTTAACCATCACATTTTCCATTTTGCTCTCTTTTCTTCCTGTCCTGACTAAAATACAGTAAAATGTCCCTGCACAGCATTCTTCCTTAAACTTGAAGAGTTCAGACCCGCAAGGACTCTTTTATACTATCTGTTCCACTTATTGTGGATTTGCCAATCAAAATCCTTACATTATCTATAAAATGGTCAATTTTTTTTTTTTTTCAGAATACAGCTGCTCCATGGAAACTGCCTTTGACACATTTCAGCAGCATTTTAAAAATTTGAAAGTCCGTTATGGTCATAGCAACAATACAGGAAAAATCAAAACTGTGGAAGTTTCATGCCAGAGATTTTCAGAGAACCCTCAGATGGTTTAAACACATTGTTTAAATGTGAATTAAGAGTGTTTAATAAACAAACAAAAAATGCCATAAAATAGAAAACACCAAAACCCAGAAAGCAATGACTAACATTCAACTTAAGCAAAAAGATCTATTTTACTCAATACAGAACATTAAAAACGATACTGGCTTTACAATGGATTCGTCTTAACTGTGGGGCCAGACTAACAAATATTTCAAATGATTTCGAAGTTCCCCTTCTGATGTTTTCCCCACAGCAGTTAATGCCAATTCCATCTTTCCAGATGTTGGGATCAAAAACCTCTAGTCACTTTTGATTCCTCTGTTTTTTCTCTCAACTTTCATCTAATCCATCAGCAAATTCCCTTGATTCTATATTTGAAATATAACCAGAAGCCAACGACTTCCCACCTCATCCACTGTGCGCCACCACCTCTAATTTTTTTAAACTGTGGTATGCTTATAATTTGGTTCCCCTGATTGCCCAACCCTTGCCTCCAACAGTTTGTATCAGTCACAGCAGCCTTAGTGATTTTGTTAAACATCAGTTTGATTTTGTCACTTCTTTGCTCACAACACTCCAATGCCTTTCCATGTTTAACGAAATCTCTTAGAGCGGTCTTCAAGGGCCTCTCTCTCCACGCATGTGCGCGTGAGCCCCGCCCCC